TATATGGCTGTAGTTTAGCTTTTTAGGTAAAAGGTATGTTTCATTAGTGCATTTCTTACTGCTGATCACAGTAAACATGTGAATCAGCTTTCCATTTCTTATGCAGGTCATGATAACTTGTAGAGTAGAGTACAATCATTTGTGCTATGTTTTTAATTTTCTAAAGCACCTTGACAGTGAGTGTTCAGTGGTGAAGCATCCTCTATTGAATCACCCTCAAAAATTTTTTTGCCAAGTCCTGAGTTGATAGCTTAAAGTAAAAAGTGAAAATTATAGTTTCATTAGGACTTGGTGTAAAGAAATCCCCTCTCCCCTTCCCCAAAGGGATACTGCAGTTATATCACATACCCAATAGGCACCACGATGAAGATCAGAGCTTATACTTAATTAAGGTTTTATACACACCAGTTCCCCAGTAAATGCAAATTTAACAAGAAAATTAGACATGTCATATGTTCAAAATGCTCATGGCAAACAATCATTTTGCATTCCTGCAAATAAAATTGTTTTATACTGTAAGCTGGAGGCGAGTGTAACTTATTTTTGTAATAAAGTTTTTATTTTTTTTATGTGTCATTAATATAAATGTGTGTTAGTGTAGAAATCTTCTGGTTTAAAAACTTAGAATTGCACACATTTCAGTATGTTTATTTGTACTTACATAATTTTAGAATAGTGGTTGCCAATAGCCTGTATGTTTCACATTAATTGGTTTTTTGTTATCTAAATAAATCATTTTAGTATGTTGTATGTCAGTTACTGGGATAGCTGGGACATAGAGTGTAATTTAAAATTTGTCAATAAGTATTCATTGGAATATATGTAAATGTGCCTTGCCGGTTATTGAAACTTACCTACAAAATGAGTATGGGGTGACAAAAATTAGTTCCTGGTGCTTAATGAAACTTTCTGCCACTGATTTTATATATTACCCCGTGCTTTTTTAAAGTACATCTCTCTCAAAACTTAGTGTAAGTTTGAGGGCTACACAAAACATTTACATTTCATTCTAACATAATGAATATAATAGGTTGTGGAAAGTGGGTAAACTAAATGTAGCCTTCAGTAAAATTGAATCTCAGTGTAATCCTTGGTGCTGGCATTTCCCAGTTCCGAGGAGTTAAATGATCCCATCTAAGAGGTCATTGCCATGCCTATTGGCACTTTACTGTCATAGCATTTTTAAGGGACACTGTCAAGGTGTTTAAGTTAATTCTCAGAATTATTTGTTGGGATTTTAGGACAGGTTTGTTTTACTTAAAGTAAGAACTGCATTGTCAAAGTTGAGAGATGAACACTTTTGTGAGTTCACAAATGTGTTCTCAAGAAAACATTAAAATATGGAGCTCTGGGTTTTCAAGACTATTTGGCATTCTTAGTTTGGGGACTTGGGAGGGAAACTGATAAAAAGAAATTGTGAAGAATTGATGGTTATACTTAAAGAAGGGTAATGTAAACAGTGGTGATGAAATATATACACATCAAGTGAAATTACTTGACAGTGTTCATTTGAATGACTTTGAATTCAAGCCATTATAATTACTTTTAAAATTAAATATCATTTGCACTGTTCTGATAATGGGTGCAGTTTTTGAGCAATATAATCAGAGCTAAATATGCATGTAGTGATTAGTGATGTGAACAATTAACGTTCTGAGAAGAAATACTAACTGTGGTATTTTCAAACTTAAATTTCTGTAGTAAAATCAGTATCAAAGTCTTATCAGATCAAGGAAAACAGGCAATGCATATAAACATACTTTTGAATGTTGTGTGGCCTATAAAGCAATAATGCAATTTATATGGAATGTCATGGGATATGAGAAATGGAAATGCAAAAATAACTAATCCTTTAGTAAAAATGTCAACATGTTAAAGGGGGAATGTTAACTAATGTAGGTTATTGCTATTTGTGATTTGTTTATGGGTTCTTGGCTTTGACAGCTTCAAAGAATGGACAGTGATAAGTCAAAGAAATTTTGTATATATTGTCAAGGAAAGGGTCTTAAATTCAAGAGTCAAGTCCCTTCCTTGGGGTAAAAAATGTATTCTTAAAGCATTCTGATTGTTAAAAAGAAAACTTAAGTTATCTAACCAAAACAGACGCAAGATTTTGTTTCTGCAGACTACTTGGCAATCAAAAGTGATCACAAATTTAGTTTATCAGTTTTCAGAAAGTTGCTTTGTGAGAAAATTTTGTTAGATATATTCTCCCAAGCATGCTTTTTGTGGAAGGTTTTCGGCCATTGCAACTGAATCAGATGTTAAAAATGAAGGGAAAATTGTGCACACACAAAACTGTTGTACACTCATGATTGCAATTTTAGCTTAAGAAACTTTTCTACCAGTTACTGCAAATCTGACTTAAAATGTAGTTTCCTCATGATAAAATAGGAACAACATAGAAATGGATTGATGGGGTGGTGATCTGAGTTATTGTATATAAAAGTTTTTAAAGAATAGAATGATGAACATCAAGCTAGATAGGCAAAATTGACACATTTGGAACAGCTTTTTTGACTGTGAAGCCAAAAGTTGTCAGAAACATAGCAAAAGATCCCATATTATTACAGAGTATCATACGTAGTCTCTATTTTAAGGGGAGAAATTAAATAGAAGGGCTTCATGCATTTAGGAGAGGGTGCTAAAGCTTCTCAAGTTCGTAAAACTTACAGGAATACCCACCATGATCATTTTCTCTCTAACTGTGTATACCACAAAATTTTCATCTGGCCATAGGAATTCATTGGTGGGTGTAAAATTAATGACTAAAGAACTTAACTGACAAATACATAAAAGAAACAGACTTGTGGGGATATTGTTTTAAGGTGTATTAATTACTCAGTGATCATACCACTCAATAGGGCATGCCACTACTTTCTTAAGATGCTAATTATGAAGCAGTGCTCACAGGCATTTTTTAACTAGCAAATTACTAGATGGACTTTTGGGGTCTGTCACTTTTTAAAAGTATTTAAGACTTAAATTAGCACCACAGTCTGCCTTCAGTAATACACCTAAAATATTCTTCAGGACCAGAAGCATTCAGTTTGAAAATTGTGCAGATGCAAACCAGTATTATTACTAACGCTCTGGGTCAAAGGTTAGGTTTTTAATGTTAACAGTAGTCTGGTAAATATTTAGAAGTCTGGCATTGAGAAACAAAAGCTTGTACCTGACTAGTATTTTTATTTAAAAAAATTAGTTCTGTTAGCTTATTTAAATTGTCTTTTACATTTATTTATCCGTAGAATTTATATTTATTTCATTCCTTTCATCTCACTGAAAACTGTCTGCAGGCCCTTTGATTTGGATTAGATGTGTGAAGTACTGTCTTTTGCCAAAAACCTCAAATTACCTGTTCTTTTCAACGTAGTGGTTTTGTGCTTGTTTGGAGATCAGTTCAAAAACTATCTGTACTATCTGTACTGCCTCTGATGTTAAGATTTTATGTATAGCATAAGGAAGCTAGCTCTGACTATATTTTCCTAAGAATAAAGACCTATTTTTGTAGCATGTCTTAGGATCTCCAGGAGTCCAAGAATTATTGTGGGTGTCCTCCATTTCATCACTTTTCACTTAACAGCTTTTAAGTAGACACTTGGAATCTTTAGAGGTCTGTCGCACTTTGATTATCCATACATTCGAAGTAACTGGCCAATGGTGAAAAATTGCCCAAGATATCCTCAGTTGCAATCACATTACTGGAAGATGAATAGAATAAATTCATTAGGCTGGTCTTAATTTTTGATGGAAACATTCTGTTGTCACATACTTACCATTGGATTTGATAAAGTTAGTGATAATTTGGAAAGAATTGGGGACTTGTCAATATATTTGTGGGTTTTGGCTTATACCCCTAGGATTTCTTGGTTGGGGAATGAGCAGTTTTGGCCGCTTCCATCAGGACAAGATTCTTTAGGTCATTTAGTGCAGGTTTAGTTCTATTTTGGATTAACATTTATATTGATTATCAAAAACAAGCTTTCATCATTTCAGAACAGTCCTGGAAGTTTGACTTTGAGTGTGGGAGAAGTCCTAATAAACCATTTTGGAAATTAGTGTCTCCAAGTGTTATAGCTTCCTGAAATGGGTTTCTAACACAATGGGATCAAAATAAGGTTATTTTAGGATAATATACTGTAAATTTAATTGTCTGATTTTCTACTTTGTCTATAAAGTGGCTTACAACAAGTTCTAATCTAGAAAGGAGTTATAAAGGTTATCTGTAATGTTTATGAATTGTCATTTCTTGCCTTTTGTTAGGCTTTCAGCTTTATTCTGAAAAGGAGATTGTTACACAAACTCAACTTGTTTTGGAGAGAATTTTAGGAAACCTAAGGGAGTTGGCATTTTATATCATTTTTGATGGGCAGTTTTTGAGTTTTCAGGGCAGAAGGACAAAGTATTTGGTGTGGAAAAGTTGTTACCACAGATTAAAGAATAAGACCAGGGCTTGCTGACAATAATAAGTCTGTTAAAGAGTTTTGTAGGTTCCATATGGTAAAATTAGGTCTTGTGACTATAGAAACACCATGATATACAAGAAGAGTTCCAACATACATGTAACGGCTCATTTAATGGTGTTAACTTTAAGTTGAAATTCGAATAACATGGAATTTGTGTAACAAGAGTATTGCATCATTTAAACACAAAATTGCTAAAGCTAGGTGCATCTGTATACTATTATGATGTCATTTTTAAGAGAATATCTTTAATATGTCAGTATTTATATTAATTGGTTGCTTTAATTGGAAGACCCAGGAATTAGGCCTCCACAGTTGCTTTAACACGTCATGAAAAATTAGAAAAGCATATGTACAAATTGTATTTCTCAGTTTTATTTAATATTTGGAGTATACTTAGAGGAAAACCAGAAATAAACAATGTTAAAGGTCATCTATAAAAATGGCAGAATACACTTTTCATTTCCACTCTAGAGCCCCATGTATATGTAATACAGTGTAGTTTGGGCAATTTTGGTTCATACCTCTACCTCCTTTGCTGTTTCCCTTGAAATAGCAAAAATTCACATAAATTTGCAGAAATTAAGTTCTTAGGAGTTATTTAACAGTACTAAAGACAGGTTCTGTTGCCTTTTGGTTTCCTGCCTAACTTCAGGTACAGATAAACTTGGAATTAAAAGACGAAAAGCCTTTATTGTAAAATTGTCATGTAACAAATCCTAGTTGATCTCTGGTTTCCTGGAGATTTATTTAGCATTTGGGAGAGGATCAACAAAGGGGCACAGCAAGCAGATACTGCAGTTAGTATTATTTTTCCCTTTTTTGCTTACTGTGTATCGATTAGTCTGTTTAAATTACTAGTACATTTTATGGTAAATTTCTTTGATTTATTTTACTTCCTTTTAGAATGGAAGCTCCTTGAAGGGCAGGGAAATCTGAGTAGGCAGGCATTTAAAAATACTCAAAATGTTGTTCAGTTGGGTGGAAGTTTAGTTTATTTGCCAAATTAGGCTTGTGACATGAGAACTTGAAAAAGGGAATCAGATATTTCGAATCATTTATTTACTGCATAGAAAGCTTTTAAAAATGATCACAAAGTGCTAATGATTTAAGTAAATTAAGATGAAGATCCACATTTAAATTATCAACTTGACATTTTAAAAAATTATTGTCTTGAGTTAAGGGAACAGTTGGCCTTGTGACTTATAGACCTTTTTTTATATGTTAAAATAACCCTGTGTGTGACTGTTTTCCTTATTTGAAATTAAGAAAAGGGTGCTCATAAGGCATCTTTAGCAGTGAACTTAACAAAATCCAGTGCATCAGTTTTCCTTTATGCTGATGTGTAGTTTAATCTGTGCTGCTGAACAAGACAGTATCAATCTACAAGCCCTCTGTCTATAAGTTCTTTATGAGGTGAGGAGGGGGTACTTCAAGATGGAACTCTTTTGCTATTGAGGGTCTGGTTGGTTTTGAGTCTAAAGTTTTTATAAGGTTCTTTTGCATAGCAATTTGAAGGTGAGGGAATAATGATACTTGAGAAAAAGCATGAAGCCTAGATAACTAAAAATGAGGTGTCAAAAGCAGCTATTTCTGAGGGTAGTGTATATTGCTTACTGTATCTTAAAATAACTTGAGAAATGGTTACATAAATATGAATAGCCTTATATTTACCTACCAGTTGATAGGTAGCTGAAATTCAGTAACCTGAATAGTGAGGCCCTGAATTTAAGGCGTTATTTCACTATACTATATATACCTCCTAATATCAGTAGTGGAGTAAAAGTGGTATTTATGTTTATGCTTAGTTGATGTTTTAAGTTGATCTTTTTTTAAAATCTAGAAGGACCTGTCCATGGAGTCCACTCCCAGATATCTCCTCCCTTTAGTTCTCTTAAAATTTATTTAATTTTTTTAAAGAGAGATGGTTGGCCGTGCGTGGTGGCTCATGCCTGTAATCCCAGCACTTTGGGAGGCCCAGGTGGACAGATCACCTGAGGCCAGGAGTTTGAGACCAACCTGGCACCTGACCAATATAGTGAAACCCTGTCTCTACTAAAAATAGTAATTAAAAAAAAAGCTGGAGAGTCAGGAGAATTGTGTGAACCCCAGAGGCGGAGGTTGCAGTGAGCCGAGTTCGTGCCACTGCACTCCAGCCTGGGTGACAGAGTGACTCCGTCTCAAAAAAAAAAAAAAAAAAAAAAAAAAGAGGTCTTGCTCTGTTATCCAGGCTGGAAGTCTACAGTACTGTCATAGCTCACTGCAGCCTCAAACTCCAGGGCTCAAGCAGTCCTCCTGCCTCAGGCTCCCAAAGTGCTGCGATTATAGGCATGAGCCGCTGTGCCTGGTCTCCCGGTTACTTGAAATACACTTAAGCCTCTACTTATGAATTTTAGAATCTCTTTTTCTCATAAGATAAGTAAATAGTATAGTACAGTACACTGAGTAGTTTTCCTTCATTTTCCACTTGTTGTTAGGTATCCTTCCTTTCTTACTGTCAGGATTATAATACTTTAAAACTGATTACCTTATACATGCCTCTAGACTAAAGAGAGGCAAAACAACATATATAATGTACTTACTCATCTTTGTCCATCACAGCAGTTTATTTTATATATGCATAGTCTTGCTCACTCTTGAATGCTAGAAATTTTAAAAGTTACCACTTTCTTATATGATGCATTGAAATATTACTTCACATCAGTTTTCTCTTTGTGCTTCTGATTTCCTTAGATGTTTGGTGATTCTTTACTCATATTTATCAAATAAGGAAATTAGGAAAACTGGTGTTGTCTACTGAGATGGCTTTCTGCAAGTTCTGTGTGTGTGAGAAAATGAGGACTAATAGCCTTTATTTTTAGCTTTTGTGGGAGCATTGAGGCAAGTAGGGTACCCTCTCCAGTGTCAGAAGAGTTTTCAATTGCAGGAGTTCTGACCCCTCTCAAGGTTACTCACTTTGAGAGGGAGGTAGACCCTAAAAGCAATTTTACCTATCAAGTCTCAGCCCTTTCACTCCTGCAAACTAGGAGGTCTTGCTTTTTCCTTCCCACTCATTCCTCCCATGGAAATTGGCTCCTGTTGTTTGTAGCAAAATTAATATGAGCCTCATTTCTTCATCTTTTGTATGAAGGAATATGAATTTATCTTTTGTATCTAAATTGCAATTTAGTATAAAAGGTGCTAGTTTTAAAATAGAACTGGTAGTAAAACACAGTAGCATGGTGCATCTTCTGAATTAGGAGAAGTCTTAATCTGTATTATCACTTCCATGTTGCTGCTCATTTAAAATATATTGTCTTGGAAAAGTCAGTAAGTCTTACTTGGGAAGAGAACGGGTACATAGAGGACATTTTGTGACTAAGGATGCAAATTTAGTGACATTCTTAATTGGGAAAAGCATATTATTTTGGAAGACCTTTTTTGTTTTGTTCTGTTGTTTTTGAGACAGGGTCTCTGTTGCCCAGGCTGGAGTGCAGTAGTGCAGTCATGGCTCACTGCAGCCTTAACCTCCCCGGCTCAAGCAGTCCTCCCACCTCAGCCTCCTAAATAGCTGGGACCATGGATGTGTGCCACAATGCCTGGCTTTTTTTTTTTTTTTTTTTTTGAGACGCTCTTGTTGCCTAGGCTGGAGCGCAATGGTGTGATCTTTGGCTCACTGCAACCTCCGCCTCCTGGGTTCAAGTGATTCTCCCAACTCAGCCTCCTGAGTAGCTGGAATTACAGGTGCCCGCCAACCATGCCCAGCTAATTTATGTATTTTTAGTAGAGATGGGGTTTCACTACGTTGGCCAGGCTGGTCTTGAACTCCTGACCTCAGGTGATCTGCCCTCCTCAGCCTCCCAAAGTGCTGGGATTATAGGTGTGAGCCACCGTGCCCGGCCAGTTTTTTTATTTTTTGGAGAGATGAGGTCTCCCTATGTTGCTGAGGCTGGTCTTGAACTGTGCTCAAGGGATCGTCCCACCTTGCCTCCCAGTGTGCTGGGGTTACAGGTGTGAGCCACTGCACCTGGCCTGAAAGGCCTTTTTGGAAATAGGTTCAGAAAATGTTTTCGCATTTAGTTTCTGAACATTTAAAGCTAAACCATTGAGAATTTCTTTTTCCCCATTCTATTTAACAGTTTGCCTTTCTGTCTTGTTATTTTCAGCAAGGCAAAATTTTTGGCAGGTAATGCAACATCATTTCTTACTGTGGCAGGGATCTCAAACCTACCTTCCAGATTTGATGTTCTGGGGTTTGA